TCAGCTGGCTGCAGTTCTAAAGAGAGTGGTTTGAGAAGGAAGTCATGTTGCCAATGAATAGATGTCATCACAATAGTACTCATGCTCATCGTATAGCACCCATAACATATGGTGTATTTCTTGATACATCTGTTCAAGGAGAAAGTGTTATTTTCATCTACATGTTAGAAGGCTTCATGAGTAATCAGCCCTGGCTGTCACAGGGGTGTGCATGCAGGTAGTGGCAAAGTCCATGTAATGGTTGGACACGCAGAGATGTCAAGCACCTGCTGGTCCCAGGAGTTAGGATTTGTCTACATAAATAAATAAAAATAACCTGAAATAAATCATGGTGGAAATAAGACAGTGCTGAATTCAGTGTCAGATTAGTGTCTGTTCCTGACTCTGCCAGTGAATTCCTGGATGAGTTGTAATTGTCATCATATATTTCTCCCTGTCTCCATCCGCAGGAAAGAAGCCTTGTAAAGTTGCTTTTTTTTGTGGATGTGTGTATTAATGCTTTGACATGCTCAGATTGTCAGGACACACTCTAGAGAACTGCTCAACATTGTTTGGGGTCCATTTGGTGCAGAGTAAAATATCAATGTGCCATCACTGGAAACTGAAACCCAGTGCTCACCGCAAAAGAGCTTGAATGCAGGCAGTTACTGTTCAGGCTTTCCCTGTGCTGTTTCTTTCAAGACTGAAACCATCTTGAAAGAAGCATCCACTATATGAACAGCATTTTTCATTTTCATTGATCCACTCAGCCATGAATACCTGACATTTCCACATGATTTCTGTAACACTAGTGTTTAGTACTTCTTTGCAGAAAGTCTCTCAACAAAGGCAGTGGTGTATAATTCTTGGTTATAGCTGTTATGATGACAGTCTTTGTATCTCAAATGCTTGTCCCACTGACATGGCAGCCACTGAAGGTCTCTGGTCTCTAGAGAACAGCTTGTCTGATGGACCAGCTCTCTCAGGATTAGCAAAAAGGCTTTCAGGATCAGCTGAGCTGTGCACACAATACTTTGTTTTATTTTGTTTCATTTTGATTGGTTCAGATGGTCCAAATATTTGCAGAACTCCATTAAGTCCTATTTAGGATGAAGTCATAAGTTCCACTTTCCATCAAGGCATGGAGCCTGTCCAAATTAGTGTCAAAGCCTGTATAATACCTTGGCTATATTGCAGGCTTGTATAGTATCAAGATCCTGTTTTCACAGCAGTTACATAGTTGTTACTTCAGTGAAGAATGATGTGACCCCTTATAAAGTCCTCGAGCTGACGTCTGTTTTTTAATGTAATATTTACACTATTCAGGGAGCTAAAATAAGGCTTTTCTTTAATAGATTCCTTCAGCTAATGTTTTCCCTTATACAGATAGGTTATTGTTTCCAGCTTTTGATACCTATGTGGCTTTGTATATTAGGGCCTCATTTTTCAGTTTGACTTTTTTTTTGCCTTCACTGTGTCTCCTGGAGCAAGGAAAGGGGTTTGCCATTATCATCAAGTTGCCTTGCAGTTTTCTCTGACGTTTTATTTGAGAGTCAAAACCCTTAAGACATTCAAACCAAAATAAACAACAAACCCCAGCACCCTGTTGTTGCCCCCCCACACACACATACACACAACAATGAATTGCTTTCCACTTTTGACTTATCTTCCTCTCCCTGAGAAGAAACATGGTACAGCAATTTCCTACCATGGAAGAACTCACATAATTTGGGCAACGAAATGTTTTTTTTTACCAATGTCTCTGATGCTACAGATGTGAACTTGTCTCTCTTGAACACGTTGCCCAGATGATTGCTATAAATAACACTGTGCCACCTAATGATTTCATGAGGCTGGATAAAAATCTATATATTCATCCCAAGTATAAGTAGCTTTCTGGGGCTTCATAATGGAAATGGAGTGCCAGGTTTTAAGTACATAATCGCATTTATTCTAGTGAAGTAAAACACACATTGACAGCCATAAAATTCTGGTCTGAACATGAAGTGTGGAGGACAACTGAAATTGGATGGACTTTTTTGCTTAACTTGCCTCTGGGCCAAAATAACTTCAGAAAGTGGGGATTGCATAGTGGAGTATTTGGTAAAACATTTTTAACCTCAGCAATGTACAGCTTCAGTCTGGACTTTAGTTCAGGAATAAAGCTTATGCTTGCTCTCTTCCACTGAAACCAATTTTCTCCCAATTCTAATTAAAAACAAAACCAAAACATAAGACTTGGAGGTTCAGAGGTCAGACCAATTTGTAGTGGACAGAGAATGGTCAAAAGGAGGATACACCAAGGACCTTATCTCATTTGCCAAGCTAACCACGTATACAGGTATGTTTTAGGGGATCAGAGTCATCTTATCCTTCGTTCTGATTGTGAAATTTCTAATGGTCTGGGTTCAGGTAGGAAATTATTCACAATTCTAATTTTTTTTTTTTTTTTTATTGTATCTGTCCAGGTACTCTTCACCCAAGTTGTCTAGAAAGGTTAATTGTGGCATTCCAGCTTTTATACTTTTTTTTTCTCTCAAAGATTTTTAAGGAGAAAAAGAATTGTAGCTTTTTTGGCATATAAAGGATGAATCCAGGCAGTCCTTAATTTACGTGTATTTGTTCCTTTACTTGGAATTCAGAATGGAGGCAGAAGTACAGGGTATGTATTCCTTGTTCTGACAATGTTCTTGTCACTTGTGCTCCGCAAACAATTATAGCTGTCACTTGCACTTTCATAATTCAATGCAAAGAAGAATTTCAAAAGGCCATATGAGGCATGCCTTGCACTTCAGACTGGTGGCTCAACCTGATTCCCTGCAGAATGACCTTACTTCACTACCTCTAGATTAGCTCTCCATCTCTTTTGTTCTCTTTGGAGATGATAAGATTATCTTATAGAAATAATGCTGTATTTATCTATTGTATGTTTAATTTTGTTTTTCCATCATCAAGGTCATAGTTTGACTTTTGCATGGGAGGTTGAGGTCTGCCGACTGTGAAACTGTTGTCAGGGTTATGACTGCCATTACGTATTCTACACAGAAAAGGGACAACGAAAGGCACTCTACCAATAACGTGTGGTGTGGCAATTCTAACCAGCTATTGGTAGGGAGTTGCATATTTCTGTAACGTGTCATGTGGCATGGGTTTAGGTCCATCAGATTGCTGCTGATTGTGACCAGGAAAGGGAAGTAAGGAAAGCAACAGAACTTCTCACTCAACTTGAGAAAGGTCACATTGTCCGTAGTTGCACTATTTATAATCATGAGGTGATGAGTGCATAGCAACTGTGCATGTAATTAGCATCTCTTGCCACTTAGCCAGCCTCCCATACTTTTAATATGGTGGTAGTCTACTATATGATTCTTTGTTTAAATCTTCTGCTCTTCTTAATTGTTCAGTTGGATGCAAGGGCTGAATAAAGCGTTGTGATCTATCTAGGATGTGTCTCTACTGCAGTCCTTTGCTAGATGGGGACAAAACTGTTTTGTCAGTATCATGGATGGTGATGCTCTCTTAGTTTACATGTTGAAAGACCTGTGGAATGAAGATAGGGAAAGGAAAAACCCAAGTCTCAGTCATAGTTTTGTTTTTAATTCTAAATATGAAAATTTTTATTTGTGCAGAATTGTTGCCATGTGTTGGTGTGTAGCCTGACAGGAACTTTTCAGGTAGCAAGTGTTTTCTGGATGTGACTCAGCAAGGAGCATGTAGAGCTGTTTCTTATCTCTAAACCAAACAGTTCTGGAGTAGCTGAGGTACTCTGATAGAAGCTACACATTCAATATTGTTCTGTATATCTTCCAGAGTAACTTTTTTAATATGAATAAGCATTTATACACAGATAACATTGGTGAGACCCACACTGTCTTCATACATCTTTAGACATCCTTAAGATAAGTCAAGTGGGTCAATCTCTTATCGTTCACTTGGAGTCTTAATTATAAAGAGATACTAGGATCCTAGAAACCAAACCTCATTTTGCTGGTGACTGTTACACTTCTCTAGAAATAGACAGACCCATTACAATGAAATCTCATTTCCATTGAGCAGTGAAGGAAGAAGAAAGAATTGTTTCCTGGGTAGGGGTAAGTCGTCTTCTTTTGGAAGTTGAGCTTGCTTGAGCTTAGTCTAGTGAAGATGATTTCAGGTGGATTATCTGGGAGGTAGGGATTAATACTGCTCCTACTGTAATTGAGGAGATGCTCTTCTGCATCCTTCAGATGATCTGAGGTTGTACTTAACTTTTTAAAATAGAATACAATAGAATATTTCAATTGGAAGAGACCTACCATGATCATCTAGTCCAACTGCCTGACCACTTCAGGGCTGACCAAAAGTTAAAGCGTGTTATTAAAGGCATTGCCCAAATGCCTCTTAAACACTGACAGGCTGCTTGGGGCATTGACTGCCTCTCTAGGAAGCCCGTTCCAGTGTTTGGCCACCCTCTCAGTAAAGAAATGTCTCCTAATGTCCAATCTAAACCTCTTTTTGGTTTATCAAATCAAAATGAGACAGTTTTTTGGCTTCTTTTCAGGTTCCTTGACTTGATTTTTTTTTTCTCCAAAGCAGATGTTAAACCCCTTTGTTGGTGAATCCCACCATCACTCTACCAGTAGAGAGACAAAATAATTTATAAGATCTGCCGATATAAAGCTACAAAATATAAACCTCTTATCTGTAAATGGGCTATCCTTCTACTTGAAAACATAGTATGTTTAAGGTACTGAGGTTTGCTGCTTAGATGCCAAAGATAACTCTGTCTCCATCAAACTTTATTATTCTGTGTTTAATAACCTTAGCTGTAGGGGATTCTTTTTAGCTGACACGCCATGGTGACAGTGCTAACGTTTCACTTTCAGAAATGTTTGTAATAAATGCCACAATCTATATGCATTATACAAGACTATGGAGGGAGATACCACAATAAAGAACAATGTAGAATCCTATGTGGTTCTACAGTAGTGTTTCATCCTGTAAAGTCTCCTTGTGTAACCTTGTTTAACTTTCTGTTTCAGGAACAAGAAGATCCTAATAAGCTTGCTACCAGCTGGCCAGATTACTACATTGACCGCATCAATTCCATGGCAGCAGTAAGTTACCTCTGCTGCAAAGCAGGGAAGATTTCTTACCATAGAGATATGTTTCTTTAGGAAGAAGTCCCCAAAGGAGAAGAATGTTAGCCCAAGTGCATGACTAATTTAAAATAGGACTGCTGAAAGAAGAAGAGTATGTGTATTAAGAAAGAGCCCTGCTCTAGCAGAATAGATTAGAAAACACCATAAGCATTTCCAGTTTTTATTTCCACAATACTGAGCACTGAAGGCAATCAAATTAGATTCTGGAGTGAAAATTTAGAGCTGGAGTAATGAGATTGATTTAAAATTATTTACATTCTAGCTGTGAAGACTATCCCAAAGTATGGCCCTGATCCTTAGATCTCTGCTCCTTGACACTGGTCCTGATATGAAGGGACAAAAATGGCTGTATGCCTCTTTTGAATTCTTGTACAAATCAGCTGGCTTAAACTGTAGTAGACCATAATGATCTTGAAGAGATTGTCATGCTCTGGAGTGTTATTGGAGCACAAAGGTAGTTCATGTATGACGCCTATTTTGGAAATTTTGAGGAATGTTAATGTAAAGCTAGCTTTCAGCACATGCACACACTCGTAGTTGTGTCTTGGCAGGACTAGCCGTCTGAAACAGTGACAACTGAAAGCATCTTTTTCCAAAACTATACTTTTGACTGCAGCTAGCATTTTTGGAGACCTGTGTGTCATTTGGGCCAAGTAGAGGTGAAATAATTTGCTTCTTCAAGAGGAATCTGAAGTGGAGCCTATAAGTGAGGATTATTTGAAATCATGGACAAGAGGGAACGAAGGCCCTTGTTTATCCCTTCAGAATAGAAGAACAAGAGAATGTTTGATGAATTAGAAAAGCAACTATTTGAAAACTAGGTAAAATTTTGTTTTATTGTGTGGCTTCAAATTGACTTTTCACTAATTTACAAAATAGCACAGGGGTTATTAGTTTAATAAGAGAATTTAAGAAAAGGTAGTTGTTTATATAAGATAATATCTACTTATGTAAGAGCAGACAAATAGAGCAACATAAGGCTGTAAAGCCGTAGACATTAGATACAAGCCAACAAGATATTTGAGGAAAACTTTCTTTAATTGCCCTTGCTCAATAGCTGTATAATACATCTCTTCCTCTGAAGCATCCAGTAGAGCTGGTCACCAGAAGAAGCAGAAGACCTGTGTATAGTGTCCACTGATCTCCTTTAATGTGGTAGATGTTATATTTTGAAATTTCATCCTTTTAATGATTTTTTTAATAGTCAAATTTTGCTTCCAGTTATTCATGTGCAATATCTGCCTAGCCTTTTTTGGCAGTTGTGCAGAAGTGATAGAATTCTGTTCCTAGCATCTTTGGTAGCACACCTTATTTGTATACTTATGCTTTTATATTTGATTTCTAAAGGCTTCTCTGCACCTTTTGTATTGTTTTTATGAGCTATAAAATAATTTCATAAAAATAATGTCGTAATGGATGCTAAATGCAGTAATATTGATGCATTTCTTGTGGTGAAATATGTCTTCTCAGTAAAAAAAGTCAGATTTACAAGCTATTATAACTTACTGTAAGAGGATAAAAGAAAAGCTGCTTTCTACTGTGAGTTATGAATGATCAAAATGATCACCTCCTTTCATGCCAGATTTTCTTGGGACGGAATAATGAAATAGAAAGAATATGGACTTGTTTTGAGTAAAGAGGTTGAGCTTTTGTGACTGCCATGGCACTGTGCTTTGATTTCCTGACTGTACAAATTTGCTCTACAAGGGCCATTAAGGAAAAAATTAAGTATGAAACCTTGCTATGTCACTGAGCCAAATACTTCTGGTAGGATTTGATCCAAGGTCTCTTGAATCTACTCAAAGTTTTTCCATTGATTTCAGTAACTTTTGCATTAGTCTTTAAATGATCTTGATGTAAAGCTAGAGTGAATATGTACACACCACTATTGTAAATCTGGAGCAGTTCCATGGAATGAGACTATATTTTGGCTTATGGTTCTAATTTTAAACATGTTTTAAGAGCACCAATAAACACCAGCCCCAGTAATGTTGTTTTCATGCCTCAGCACTGAATGATTGATAATCATGATGCTTGAAGTCAAATAAAAGATTTACTCTTATGCTTGAGGTGTTAAGAAGACACACTGGGATTAAAACCTCCGCTTCTGATTTACCACTTAGTTGCTTCCTTTTTTAGGCAGGTGAAACTTAGTTGACTTAATTTCACAGGAATTGTATCAGTGGAAAACTGAAGTAATACAGCTGAGAACCAGCTCCAACACATTTTAAAAGACACGTTCTATTCATTATTATTTAGACCTCCGAGATTTGTAACTTCCAAATGGTTATTTTGGGTCCCTTATAATTTCAGTCCTAAACTTAGTGGTGGGTTTTTTTAAATTTTTTTTTTTTTTTTAAACTGCATCCAAGTAGAGTTGGCTCAGAAATGGTGAAAGAAAAACATGTTTCAGGTTGCTTCCTGACACTGTCTAGTCTATTTCAGTTTGCACCTCTTGGGTACTATCAGATATTGCAATATTTTAGTTAGAAATACTGCAAGAAGTATTAGAGTTGAAATGGTAGCAATAATCACAGAAGTGTTAGTTTAAAATGCCCTAAGTCCTGCTTTTTTAATAAAATTTAATCTTTGCGTCTCCTGTGAATTAACTGCATAAGAATCTTTTTACATGCGGTTTTCACATCTCTTTCTATATTCTTTTGTTTAATTATGAAGTTCTTTTCTATATATTAGCTTGGCAAAAAATTCTTCCTACCAGCTGATAAAATGGAAATGGCACCTTTATCCTGCTGATATCACTAAGTATCTTTCTGTGGATTTCAGCAGGCCGAGGCCTCTATGCTCAAGGATCATTTTCTCAGAAGACCTGCTTCAGTGTTAGTCATCATATGTGCCCCTCATAGATTATGCTTGAGAGCAATGTGGTGATTCCCGACATGTTTGACATTCCCTACTTGTAACCTTAGATCACTATGTTAGGAAGCACTTCAGGTCATAGAGTCCTGATCCAATTTAAAAAGCCATGTGTTTTAGGCACAGTTCTGTTCCCACAATTGTTTCTGTTGCTGTGACTTTTTAGATTTTAATAGTTTTTAAACTATTAAACAATTCTCACAAAAGCATATGGCAGTAAAACAGGATCTCTTTACTAGCCTGTAGCGTGCAATTCCTGTAGAGAGACTGTCCCATCCTTCAGGTAGCCTGACTGGAATTAAAGGGCCAAGTAGATCATTAGTAGAGTGTCTTCTAGACCAGTTCTTAAGAGAAAGGGACAGCTGCTAATGATGTCTCATTTAGAAAGAGGAGCCTCCAAATTTGCCCGGTCCTCTGATGTCTACGTGTGATAAATAATACTGGTGACTGTAGACAGGTTGTACGCCCACAATCAGAGACCATTTCCATTATCAAGGTCATTGTCATCTTCTGCTGATTCATCAACACACAAAACTTCTTTTCTTAAAAATGCAGCAGCTGCCCTGTTAATATCACATGTAAAAAAACCTCCCTGTGCTCCTCCTGCCCTCCTCACCCCATGATACTGTCTGCTTGGCAGCACAAATAAACACAGCCCTCATTTTACTGGGAAGGAATACTTCTGACAGCGCTGTGTTACTTTTATGAGCTTGGCTGTGTATGCATTTCCACAGAGAGACTTCCAGGTGAACAGTAGTTGCAGATCCAGCTTTTCTGGAGAGATGGCTCGGTTGAGAGTGTGAGACAGGGGTCAAGATTAATAAATACAGCTGTAACCAGGCCTTTTTCCTTGACTTAGAAAGCATTTGTTCAGGGCAGAGCAGCTTCACAGAAAGTTAAAAATATATATCTTTCAGTAGAATTTAGCAGGTGGATGATAACTCTTTCCTCCATCTGGTTTAGGTGACATCTATGTTACTTTAAAATTATTTGCTTAAAATTTCAGGTTTTTTTAAATTACATCTATGCATAGTTTATGATTCATAGTTTAGGTTTATGATTCATAGTTTATTCTCTTAGTTCAGCTTTAATGTAGTTAGAAATGTGGTGCACCTTGAATTTCCACTGACTTTTTTTCTTTGAAGAAATGTTTTAAAGTAGTATTGTCCAGGTGTGTCATAGGAGGCATGCGGTACAATATTTTTTATCACATTTTTGTTTTAATTTTACTTCTCTTTGTTTATGAACTGAAAGCCATTTCAATAATGATAACACTTTGTCAGTTATTATTTTAGATAAGATCTAAAGAAAAAGCTTAGACTATAATAAGAAAGCAGAATATCCAGGTTGCTTTTTCACTATTTATTCTATTTGCTTCTTTCTTTTTTCGTTTCTTTTGTGTGAGACTGTTAAATAATTAACTAGGTCCATCATACAGTATTGCTGCTGATAGTTCATGCCCCTTTTTCTTTTCCTTTTTTCCTCTCTCTTTTTCACTTGTACTGTCATTATGGTCCTGTATTTTCCCTCCCAGTAATTTAGGGGAATCATTAGCCATTAGGATAAGGTGTGGGAATTAATCTGTGCTTTTAATGAAATGAAAATATTTCATCTTAAATGGAACCAAATTTTCAAAAGTAATTTCTTGGACTACCTGAAGCTTTACACATAACATTCTATGTGAATTTTTTTTTCACATATTTGTGAATTTTTTCAAATGGGCAAATCAAATAACTAGATGCTATACTTTCCTCGGTGATGCACTTCATCTGGAAAACTTTAAATATGCAAAACGTGCTTTTCAAAAAAGAGCCTTCTGTATACCACTTTTTGGGGACTACATAAGGACCTCGCGCAGTTTTGCTTCCTCTCCCTAGTATGTTTGGTTAACTGACAGTAACTGGCTGCATCCTCAGCACATTAGCAGACATTAGTCCTCGAGTGCAGCGTGTAGTTCAGGAAAGTAATTCATCAGTCAGCTACGTTAATGAAATCCAGCCTCAAGTAATGACAGTTCCTTCCCCTCTGTCTCCCAGGGACAATTATGTTTTCTATAACTCTTGCCGAGAAAGCTATTTCATGATGCAAACGCGTGACCGGTCTGTCTTTAGAGAGGGCATGAGGATTTGGGTTCCTGGCCATGCACAGGAGTGAGAAATGAAGGGCTCTTGGCTGCCTGCAGCTTTAGAAAAGGGGTTTTCTATAATCACCCTCTGTTGTAAAGGCAGGATTATTTGTATTTGTTTCGTTTGGAAATGGGCCTTTTTAACTCTGAACGAAATACTGTTGAGCACCGTCCTACCATCCATTTGCTTTCCCCCCACAATGGCTCAGAGGAGAAATTAAGCCATTGGCGGAATAGGAGCCTTTCAAAGGAGCATTTATGGGCCAAAGGAAAGATGACCAGATGGGCTGTCACCCAAGAAAATACAAGTCAAGCCCCAAATCACACCCCAGGACTCTGCCATTGAGATTCCATAATGCCTTTTCAGGATTTCTGTTTATTTTTCGAGGAGGGGGATCATATATGGCTTGGCTTAAGCATTTCAATTTATGTTTCTGGCTGTTGGGGGATACTGGCAAGAGATAAAACATCATCAGCTCATTTTCCATCAGTAGCGCTCTGTCATTCCATTAGGGCAGGAAATAGCTTGCTCTGTTACTGAGTGAATTTGACTTTAGCGTGGATCAGAGAGAGGACCCCTAGAGTTAAACACATCTCCCTATGCCAGCTGTTCAGCATAAGACAGCAACGGCATATAGCCAAATGACCACCCTCAGAATCTGACATGTGTTGGCACCACGTGGTTTGCAAAAGCAAGCAACATGGGAGCACTCCCAAGGGAAGTGAGGTGTTGGGGGTGGGGAGGCAGAGTTAAGGAAGTTCCAGTGAGAGGAAGGTTTTTTTGGTGCTTGCTAAATAGTAAAATTAAGACTTAAATAATTTGCTATAATGGGCCATAATTGCAGCTACTCAGATTCCACCACAGAGAGGTATATCAGATACCTGATAGATGATACTAGTTTAATCAGGGTATTCATTTGAGAAGGGGTTCAGAGCTGCTTTCTGGATTCCACTGAGTGGTATCCCCTAGAAGTCCTGCCAATAAGAGAGGCATTTCTCCTCTCTGTTTTACAATTGAAGCGACTAAGAAGACACAGCTATAGGCTAAGTATTTCCAGCATTGAGTCTTGACTTCTTAAAAAGTCACACATTGAAGTTGTGAGCCTGAACGTTGTATGAGATGGTTACAGTGGTGCTAAGTGTAGATTTGGAACCCTGATTTCCTGATACACCACGTTTTTAACAGCATTGTCCGACTTCGAGAACTTTATTTTTTGTGTGTATTCCACTCATTATCTCTCATCCTAATTTACAGTGACCCACAGCATCTTCAGTTACAGTTGACTGCAAGCTCTAGTTATCTCAGGCTGCATACTAGGGGAGAATCTAGTCTCCATGAGCTTCAGTTTACTCATTAAAAAACAAGGACAGGGATTTTATGATGCCTCAGCTTTTTGCAATAAATGTTCCTAATTAGCAAGGGAAAGTGTATAGGGAAAATCGGTATCTTAAATCAGGTGATATACTTTGGGTGGGGGAAAAAAGTCAAACTTGCACATACACAAGCTGTAATTCAGGGTAGTTGCAGGCTGTTTAGTCACTTGAAGAAAAAGCTTTTGTGCTTTGAAACCTGACACGCATCTGTTTTTTTTTTTTTTTTCCCCCCCCCCCCCCCGCCAAATCCCTCTAGCCATGTCAGTCTAATAAAAGATATTACCTCTCCCTACAAACTTTGCCTTGCATATCCATAGATCACCACAGCAGATCACTGTTCCAAATTAGGTACAGTTTTCTGAGGGCATACTGGAAAGTATGATTTTTGGGGAGTAATTCAAGAACCCTATTTTAGCCGGCGTGGCAAAGCAGTATGCTACTGCCAGTCCCCATGAGCAGCCTCATCTGGTTTCAGTTTTGTAGTTAAGGCACTGCTTTCCTGGTGAGAGGTCGGCAGGCACCTCTGTATGGGTTGATGGGATAGTTGGTTTTCATAATTCCCAGCCTGTCTCTTGGTTTCCAGGCAGCCCCAGCTTTCCTGATTGTCATCTTCTTTCCTGAACAGATGCAGACTTTGTACGCTTTCGATGAAGAAGAAACAGAAATGAAAAATAAAATAGTTGAAGACTTGAAGACAGCTCTTCGAACTCAGCCTATGAGGTAATGTTGTTCGTCTTTCATCACAACTCACTGCCTCCCTATGGTCAGATGTGACATGCGAAAGAGTGGCAACGACAGAAACCTCTATTGTCTCACCTCACACAAGCCTCTCTGATGTTTCAGACAATCCACAGAGACCTACAGTCCCTGGTCTGAACCTGCCTAGTTGGGAAGGCACACTAATGCTGAAGCGTGTAGCTTCAGGAAAATAAAAGACAAAGTCTGCTGCGAAAAACCTGTGGCAGATCTGTGCAAACACAGGTAATGACTATGAAGATCAGATTTTAGACTTCATAGCCCCCTGAATGTCTCATGTAATTTGATTTATGTTGGGCAAAATCTCAGCCTCTACTCCGAACTTTGAATTCAGGATTCCTCTTATCTTTAGTAATATGAACTGTTTGGTACAAAGCAGCTAATCCATCTGACATCACCTGATCTGGCATTCTTCCTGTTCTATGTGTAACTGTGGCATAGACAAATGTTTAGAGACTTTATCGTGTACTTTGAAGATAAGGTCATCTTTGTTTTTCAGGGAACAAAGCTCTGAACAATAGCGAACTAACTAGCGTAGAAACCTTTTCCATTTAATGCTTAGAAGAGCATTGTGCAGAAGCAATAACTGATATGATCTCAGGAAACACTCCATCAAAATGTTTCTGAATGTCTTTGTGTTGGGCCCAAAATCGACCAAATGTGTTTGCATCCACACTATGCTGAAATCATAGTTTCAGAGAGCTTCAATAATGCCTAATCAAACAGGGTATGTTGAGGGCTGGAACCTAACCAATCCAAACAAATTAGTTAATTTTTTGGGTTGTTTTTATTTATTTATCTCAAAGAATTTTGCAGTTACTTTGACTTGAAGTGAAGATATTTCTGGGACCTCTTGCAGAGCTAAGTGCTGATTGTGCTTCTCCCCTTCATGATATTTAAAAAGTTAACTGCATGCAACTTCTCACCTCATGGCAAGTATGAGGTAGAGCATATCAGCTTAAACCTCAGTGTTTTACCTCCTGTTGTGACGGGCTGTAAGAGAGCATAAATCCAGATTCTGATGCTCCTCTGAGGCACAAGGATTCATCAGGATTTGGTAACTTTAGCCATGTGGGTAGGGTGAGTGCTTTTAACATGGAAGTGGAGAAACAGCAGCCTATATTGAGACCTAGACCAAGGGGATAAGTGACTGTTTGATCCTGTCTATCACTATCCTAAAGCAGAGAACACAGTAAAGTGCAGCTGGACTTTATGTTAAAATGGTAGCTAAAACAACTGCCAAACTCCCAAATTTCACAAGGATTTTAAACCAAAGTCCTGTGCTGTTGAGACTTGACGTGGGAACTCTATTACATTATTGTGGAACTGGTTTGATGCTTCCTCTATGAAAGTGGTAGCTTTCATTGAGCATAGCCACAGCAGGAAGGCCTCTCTGCTATGTTCAGCTAAAACACTTTGTTGGTGACCATTGGTTGTTCTGCTCTGTCATTTTGAGTAGGACAGCCGAGCCTCGTTGTTGAGAGCAAGACAAAAGAGATGAGGAAGGAGAAATGTCTTTTGCTCAAAGCCTTGCAAGGTTTTCCTGTTCAGACCTATATTGCTTCTGCTGGATCCCCTTGACAACAGCCTGTTGCTTCATCTGTTTATAATAACCCTAACAAGCTTTGGTACAAGCTTCTATGAGCTGCCCTATAAAGTGCTCTCTTCTAAATCGCTGGCGATGGTTATGGGGTTGGGCTTTTTTTTTTAAATAGTTAAGCTAAGCCAAATTTTGAGTTAAATCCTATGTCTCAAGTAATTTCCAGCGACTCAATTCGTTAGCTGCCAAATGGGCTGCATGCCAATGCCTGATCAACAAGCCAATTTCTTCTTGATGGAAAGGTTGCAGTAGAGAGGCCCTCGGCTCCATCAAATCCCTCTCATAAGCAGTACTATACCCAAGCCTTCAAAATACTAGTCTTTCTAGTTGAATTTGGACATTTTCCTTGCCTCTTCCATTCATCAGGCCTCTGAAGAAAAGAGAGACCTAAATTCACACAGGGTGGACTGTCTGGAATCCATTTGTGATGGTAGGGTACACAGGGGCTCTGACAGCTTCCAATAGGCTCCTTTGCTTGAATTCTCTGATCTAGAGAAATCAAAAGAGGAAAAATGCATGTGTTGGGCTCTGTGTTTTATTTTACTGTAGAACTGTGTACTGTTCTAGTACAAAATGCAGAGTAATGGTACTAATCTGTGCCTCTACTTCGACCCACCAATTCTAGTAGTAACAAAAACTGAAGCCGACCTACTCAAGCTCAAGTTCCTCTCCTCTTTGCAGAAAAGGTGATAGAAATGTCCCTGGGCAGCTAGTTGCCCCCCTTTGAGCAAGTGCATTTTTTT